CCTCAAAATGACTGTCTATATTACTACTGTATGTCACCGGCCACAATTCCAGAGGAAGAAATAATATTTCGCATTGGTGCATCAGCCGGCCCGGCATAAACAAAGCTGAAACAAACAAGGCCATTGCCGGCGGCGAGAGGACTTTCAACACAATTCCTTTTGTGGTTTGGGTGCTCAGATAGTGGGGTACCTACATGCAAAGATTCGACCCAGGGGGAAAGCGTTAACCTTGTGTTTCGCTTCCTAGTGCCGTTTCGCTTCGGGGTTTGCGACTGTACCTTACACTAGCAGGAACTCGTGCTCTGCTACGAAAGTATAAACACAGTTGACCACGAATAGGCCAGCACTAAGAGCTCAAGTAAACATCAAGTATGCAATACATATGCTCTGTCCAGAAGTCTTCCCTCCTTCATGCATTCTGAGTGCTCAACACAGCTGATTCAGTTCTCACTACTACAGAGCAAGTAGAAATAAAACCTGCACTTCTGTATTCAATAGACGCTCGTCAACCTGCGGTTGGTTCCTCGCGTCCTTGTGTCCAAGATACCGGTCCCAATACTTGCGTACTTAGATTGAGCCTGTTCTCCTCCAACGAATCCCGCCAGACGAACAGCAAGAGCAGCGAGCCTGAGCAAATGCAGGTTGGCTCCTGTGCAACTTGTGAGGTAGGATAAGCAGGGGCACGATGGAGGAGTGGTCTATCGTGCGACGTTTCAACACGTCAGCTGCTGACGGAGTTTTTGGGCGGCAGTTCGAACCCCCCCACCCCCTGTTGAGGGAACAATTTTGACACTCAACGGCTTCTCCACCTCCGATTACCCGGCGTTGTGATCGTTGATCGACTTTATCACTGCCGGCCGACTTCCATCACCAGTCTCACTTCCCACCATCATCAGAGCCTCGGATCGCAGCAGGCAATCACCCGGCGGCCCGCATATTTCATTCAGTACTGCGTTCATACTCAAACATTCCTCCGGCCTGCCGCCAGCCGGAAAGTTGTTTATCCCAGTGGAGGTTGCCTGGGAGTTTAAACGGGGGCCAACAAAGGAACAAATCACTGCACTGTGCCGAAGAAGGGAATTCCATCAGTCTGGGTACCGATCAGGTGATGGGGAATAAGGGAAGGAAGCTGCGGCGGTCGGCCGGCAGGAAGCCGGACTCCGCATTCATCAATCAATGGGCATGATTTACAGTAACCGAGGTTTCCGCATTTGCAGCCTCGCATACTTAACCGTGGCACTGCCACAGGACTGGGTTCCATCACCCAAGTCATGTGTTCGAGTAGAAAGACCCCCCGACAAGTAATATTCGCTTAGTAAAAAATTAGATTGTATCTCTACCATATGCCATAGGCACACCGGAGAATAGACAAGGATTCCAAAAAAAAAAAAAAAAGGTAGGATAAGCAAGTGCAGGGTGACGCTCGTAGACAATTTCAGTTTATGAAGGTGAACACGGACAGAACAAAGAAATTGAACTGGGGAGATTCCAACATGCATCACCCAGGGACATGTGCATTGTGCACATTCAGCATGGCAGTCTTAGGATGGGCCAAATTCAACTCTACAGCTTGAGACATAAGAAGAGCGCCGGCGGTAAGTGTACTTGGGAATTGTGCTCGTAGCCGGGTTTCAGAGCGTTGTGGAATACAGGTACGATAGCACACCACCGACGGAATGTGATGTTGAGTTTGCGTGTGATGTGTGACATCTCCCTAGCGTGTGGACTGAAGCGCCAACTGGATGCAAATCAGGCCACTTGCGTAAATTTTGCATGTCCGGCGGCCATTGTTCTCACATCAAGCCCGCGGTCTTCTCCGGCCACTTCCGGCTCGGTTATAAGGTTGACACGTCACAAACACCGCACCACACCTCTCCCTCTCCCACCACCACCATCCTCCTTGTCTCCTCCACCACTCAATTTCTCGCTCTCTTCTGAGTTAACCCAATCCGCCATGTAACTTCTCCATCCTCCTTTGGCCTGAGCTTGGTCTGATTTTTCTGATAGATCCCCTGCCACCCTGCGCTCTCAAGCTCCTGCTCTCTCGCATACACCCTTGGTGCGTCTGCTTATCATTGCGGCCCTCCCCATAACTGACATACCAACAGCTCTTACTTTCCTGCTTTCAATTGTTATAAGTGGCAACAGGAATAAGGTGTGTGTATGGTGTTTTCTTTAAATGTGCCACCGTTAATCTCAGCCAAAGTTTGTACAGTGCAGCCGCTTCACTGTCAAGCTCTTCGGGAGGGCAGAACATTATGGTGAGCAGGTGAGCTTTGTTGGGTGTGATTGGAGGTCACTGTGCATAATGGATTCTTCTCTGTAATTCTTCTCTGTACGATGTATATACATTTCCGCCACAATTCATTTCTCCCTTCCTGGAGCTCTGTATCCAAATGTGATCATGATACAGTGTAGTACGGCTCAATGGGGAAGGAGTGTTCCTTGGTGATTATTTTTTTTTCACCACACCTCTTCACCGGAGGCTTGTCCCTTGTATTAGAATATCATTATCTATGCTAGCCCTACCTACTGTATTAATTCTGAATGCAAAAAAGAGACAAGTATCGTTTGAGGCCAAGTTTTGTGTCAATACGCGACAAATCAAGGAATCACCGACTTTCTTCTCCGTGATCCTACTTCAATGGGGGCACTTTTCGTCTCAAAACAAATTCCGGCATAAAGGCCTTGATCTTAGGTATGTTTCCTTCCGCATGTGTGAGAGGATCGGACAAAAGATGCGGCCGAAAGGAAATGGACAAGATCATGCACGTGGAAGCGTGACAGGTGTTTGTTGACGCGTCTGTCCATCACCTCTCTCCGTCTTCTCTAGCCAATCCCTACTGTCCAGTTCTCATGGTGTACCACGCAAAGTCCGATCGGGTCAAAGCCCAGGAGGCCAGTCGAAAGAAGGAGGCAAATATAGCGGCGGCGGTGCAGGAGTGGGACAGGGAGCGCGTCAAGCCCGCCATCTTAGGCAAGCCCAAAACTGTCTCTGATCTCTCTTTCAAATACGGGATTCCTTACATGACACTATCTCGACGAGTACATGGTGGACAGAGTATTCGACAAGCCAATCAAAAGAAGCAAAAGGTCCCCATCGTCACGGAGTGGGCACTCGTCCAGTTCATGCGTGAATCCGCGGATCGAGGCTTCCCATTCATCCATCGACAGATAGAGCAGTATGCCATGGGGTTGAAGAAGATGAACCAGGCACTGCGATTGCAGGAGGAGAAACAAGTGACGGAGCGAGCAAAGCTTTTTCAAGGCAAAGCTCAGTGCCTCTCATCAGCCGAGTTTGTTGCCAAGGTGAATGAGATCAGCGAGGGGAAGAAGGCGAAGGAAGCGGGGAAGGAGAAGAAGCGGGTCGAGCGGGAGCGAAGGAAAGAGTTGCGAGCAGAGATTGGGCTGGAATGGGCTGAGATGAAGCGCCAGCACGCTGCTGCTGTTGAGAACTGGGTGGCGGAATGCTCTAAGCTGCAGGAAACCGGCGTGAAGAAGAAGGACCTTCCCCCAAAGCCGAAATTGGGCAAGAAACCGAAGCTACCGGTCGTGGAGGATGAGGATTCGGAGGAGGAGGATGAGCTGAATGAGGAAGGTGACGTGTGACATCCGTTTCACCAAGGACCCCGAAACGTGACATTTGGGATCAAAATTTTGTGTCGTTCATCGCACTTCCTCTCATACGAAAGTACCCATAATTATACTCAATACCTACTTGTTATATGCTCTAGTAGTGCCTACACGAGTTCCAGGATTTTTGCGATACAAATGCGGAGCATAGATCGAAAACATCAAAGTTGATCACCATCGAGCCGTACTACACTGTAACACAATCAAGTATATTAAATGTGAGATGTCAGTGTGATATGAATGGAAGAAATGCTATCAGCTTGCTGCTTTTCAATATGTCTACGGGACGCTACAATAGCGCTTAAAAAGCGTGGTGCATGTTTTTTGCGTCGTGGCCAGCTTAAGGCTGATGTGATTTTGACGTGTGACCTCTCATTGTCCGGGTGACATCATGTCACACGCCATATTTGCGTGTCAACTTCGCGGTGGTGTAGCAATATCCCAAATGAGCTAAGTGTACTTGAACGGAGGCACTTAAAAAATCCGTCCAGCACAGTAGGGAAAAGCGAGTATGCAGTACTGTACACAATGAGAGTCTTTGGGGATATCAATTCTCATGAAGAATATGCAGAGCATTCAGGGTGGTGCTCGTAGGGGAAGAAATTCCAAGTGTCAGTCCGCCGAATCGAGATTCGCGCTCCGGCAAATGGTTCACAGCCGGATCTGGTTTCAGTGAAGACGGATGACAATGGCCGCAAGCATACAACTCGCGCATTTAATACCGAGACAGCCGAGCAACTCAATGCCTGGCTGACTGGATATGAGGCACAACTCCGGCAAATGTCTGATATCAATTTTGATTTTTCTGTCCACGTCTTGCTATTGCTTTACAAGGAGTTGGTGGAAAAGAGGGTTGGAAAGAAAAACGAGGGCCTAGACGACGAGTTTTGGGCAGCAGTTGACGGAACTGACTGATGTGAGCGTATCAATAGTCTCTATATTCTATCTTGTTTTGATAAACTTTACGCAGAGGGTCGGCGAACTTCAGTGTACTTTACACAGAAGTTCAGTGAATTTTACTGCACGGAAGTTCGGTGACCTTCATCGTACCTGGAACCAAAATTCAACGAAGTTCACCGTACCGCATTGCGATATAGATAAATAGTCATTATCAAACTCGTATTGAAGTGTTAGATAAATTGTTATCGAAGTTTAGTGAATATCATTGAAGATGGCATACAGGTTCACTGAGCCTCGGCGAACCAGTGAACCTCGATGTATCTAGGCAAGAGATTCAGTGAACGTCAATGTGTCAGAACCATTACCTTGCTTCAACTAACAAGCATGCTGTAATACTGCATAGCCTTGAGTCATAAGTCAGCTAGTGACTTAGTCCGACATGTTTGGATCCCGTCCCAACTCTGAAAGGACTGGTAGCTCAGTTGGTAGAGCCACCACGGGAGGTCTCGAGTTCGATCCTCGACCAGTGCATTCTTCCTTTTACACACTTTCAATAACCTCCGCAGTTTTGAGACAATGAATGTCGGCTGGCGCACCGACGAAGTCCGATGGCGCGGACCGGCTTCGCGCATAATACACAAAGTGTGAGCTAAGACAGGCGAGGCACGAGCCGGCTTAGTGAGAGGCAAGATGCCGATCCTGCCGCTTCATGCCGGCATGATCAAATCGGTACGATTCTGATCGCTACGCTCTCCTGCCAGCGCGTCGACGCTGCAGAGCACCTCGCTCGTCCTCTCTCGCTTCTATACGCGTTTTCTCCCGCCCTCCTCCCGTTTCCCATTTGTTTTAGTTCCGCTTAGGCTGCTTTTGATCTCCTTTCCGGACCTTTGGTGGCCTTGGCGTGCAGACTCGGCCGTTGCCGTGTTCCGTTCCTTTCGACTCGGCTTTCCTGACGCCCAGATGAGTCGGCCGGAACGGCCGAGCCTTCCACACACCCGCAAGACCCTGCCTTCATCAGCCTCTCTCATCCTCAGCCCTCTCTCTCATCACGGATCGAGAAGACCACGACCCGCCTTGCGCCCGCACCGTGCTTACAGCTGTGCTTACAAAGCACCTAGTCATGTAAGCATCTGCATTTTGGAGCCCTATACCGATGAATGGCGAAGCAAGCTTCCCCGTTATGACCCTGCTATAACAACAGAGGCTCTCCTTCTCTATTTCAGTATAAGATAGGTGTATTCTGCACAATATTCATGATTGTGTTCCCTCTGTGCGGACTTAGACCTACTTAGACATTTCTGGGCACTCTCGGAGGTCCCCGGACGTGCCTTGACAGCTCACGGGCTGATGGGTTTACGGCATGCGCTCCATCGTTGGGTGAATAGCGTTTACTGTAGCACTTGAAACGTAACGCGTAACTCCCGCCCTGTTTCGTTTCAACGGTAACGCATAACGGTCGGGTGGACTGCGTGACATACAAAGATGTCGAATTATCATGTTTGTGGCTGTAAAATCTAGCTATATCTACTGCTACTCGCAGTTACCAAAAGTAACCGAATTCGGGGTTTTGTCCCAGAAATTACGATGGTCAAAGAACTTTGAGCGATGAAGGGTTCATTTATAGCGTGTTTGCTACAACTTTCATGATATAATTCATGATATAAACTTGGGGTAAGCTATCACACAGTGAGTGAATGAATTAATATTCAAAATACCATTAATTTGGCAGGGTTTGCCCTTTTTTGGAACCCACTCACCAGGATTTCAGGTGGGTGAGTACCTCAAACATAGGTTTACTATCTCATGACTTTGTACCTGAAAACTCAGGGATTGCTGGGCTATCCTCATCCTTCAATGAGGGTATGGTTGCGGACCGAACTTCGTGACAAGTCGCAGTCCCAATTTGGTAATTGATACTGTCACGTCAGTTTTCATTGAGACATCCTGGGATTGTGTAAATAGCATTGCAAGAAGGTAATCTACAAACGTACTGGAGCAAAACTTCGAAAAATCGGTTTTCCGTGTTTTGCACGGCAATTTCGCGCTTTTGATTGCGGATCACTCGGACCGGTGGCTGTGCAGCAGCATCTTTTGCCGATTTCTTGGTTAGGATATTTCACTTTCACTGTGGGGTCCGGAAGAAGGAGTCCGGGGTTGCAGAGGCAGAATGGCAGAGAAAGACTTGATTACCTGCCTCAAACTTACGGTAGGCGGAATGGTCGAGGTTCAATTTCAGAAATTTCCGCGGAGCGGAGTTTGAATCCGGGAAAGGGCAGCCAGTTTGAGGCATTTTTCGATGCTACCTTGTGGCTCAGTGAGCGTTCTGAACCCCATACTGAAGGTTCCTCAGTCCAACAGAGCTTTTTGAGATGAAAACAAGCCAAAAAATGAATTTCTGTGCCGTTTTGCATCAAAATAGAGCCGACTTGATGATGGATCATTGATGTGGGTGATCGCCGAGCCTGAATCCTAAAAGAGGAAGTTTTCTTTTGCTTATTGTACGAGCATCCTTGAGTACAAAGTTTGACGGAAGCCTTGAACATACTAGGCCATATGAAAGGTATCCTACTATTCCGAAGGTATCAAATATGGTATATTTTCTTGTGAATTTGTTGGCCATCCCGTGTTGCGCCGAAATGCCGAAGTGAAGTCGCACAATGCGACAATATGTACTGACTTGAGAAAACAGGGGATTCAATAGAACTAAATGCAGAAAATGCATTGCAGAGTCTACCGCACCTTTAAGATACTTACATTTTCCGACGAATGAACACTAAGTTTGAACTTGCCGATCGCGCATCAGTGCCGCATCATTTCGGCCCGGCAACACAAACCAACCTGCATGGCATTCGACTTTTTTGGGGAATGGGGTATGATTTCAGGCTGTATAGAGTAGTGCTGCCGGGAGCTGAGTTGGAGCTGAGCTCGAGGTGATTGCCCATCAGCTCGCTCGAGCTCGGAGTTGGGCCGAGGCAGCTCGGAGCTGACACCCATAAATGGAAGTTTCCGTCCCACGGTCCCCCGTCTCCTCGTTTCGAGCTTTTTGACCTCGTATGCACCTCTAAAATGTGCTAATTCTCCCAAGAAGTACAATAAACAGAGCCAGGCCATGAGCCAAAGACGTTGGGGGTTGGGTACGAATTCATCGTGAAGTTGTTTTGACGCGGGGGTTGGATGTAGCAAGTGCATGCCTGCGGGTTACCGCATTGGCAGGATGGCGAGGCCATGGGGGTTCACACAAGAGGGAGAGTTGGAATGGAGTATAATTGGGGCAATATATATGACATTTTAGAGGTATCTATTGCACGTACCTTGGACCCTGAGTGCGCCATGCACTGTCCCGACGCGCCACCTTTGCGTCATATTTCCAGCTTTGTGGGGCGTTTCGCGTCCTGCGGGGCAGTCAGCCGGTGACGTCGATGCCAAGCGAGGTGGAGGTGAGGCATAGGAGGATTGGTTTGCGCCAGGATGCGCTGGTCGGTGAGCGGGAGGAGGAGGAGTGTGGTAGACGCGTCAGTCACTCAGTGACGCTGTCAAAAATGTCACGGTGCCTGTTTTGGGAGCGGAGGCGAGGCGAGCTGGCATCACCTCGAGGTGCCGTTTATGGTAACGGGTCGAGTTGGAGCTGAACTCAGCTCGGAGCTAACTCCAGCTCCCGGCAGCACTAGTACTATAGAGGAGCATTGGAGGAGCACTACACAGCATCCGAAGGCCTAGGGGAAGGCCCAAAAGACAAAATGAGGTTGCATCCCTCCTGGATTTGAACTCCGCTCCGCGGAAATGTCTGAAATTCAACCTCGACCATCCCGCCTACCGTATCAAACTCGCGAGTTTAGGCTCCATTCGGCTGTCGTGTCTTAGCGTCACTTAGCGTCACTTTGGAGCACTTGGGAAAAATTCCACGCCAAACTTTTGGTGAGAAGTACTCTTAAGTGACGTCAAGTGCTCCGAAGTGACGCAAGCCTTACTGATTTTTTCGGCGCTGCGCGGCCAATTCAATGTCTAAAATTTGCGTCTCGACATCTACTTACCTATTCACAAATGCGCGGGCAACCATTTAAAAGGTTCTTATTTCACTAGTATCCGGTCAACTTGAGTTGGAAATCACGGCAATTCAACTGATTACTTGCAACAGTTGCAGATTCTTCAATTTTAGGCTCACCAAATTGATTTCACTACTTGACAAACAAGGCAGAGATATTCAATGTGAGTATTTGATTCCATTCAAATGATTTTTGAGATCAAAACAGTTTGCAGTCAATCGTGCAGTGCATTCAATTGACATGCAATCTTCAAGTTGGAGGCTCGGGGTTAAGTTTAACTTTTCAACTTTCAACTTAAACATCTCTTTTTGTGTCCATATTTCCTCGCAATTTAGTACGGGTACAGTTGCGGCGAAATTAGATGCATTACCATATAAGGAAATTTCAAAGAAATCGACCTTGGGAAAGCTAGCCATGGATGTTTCCGGTAGATTGGCTACGGATACTCTACTACTGGGTGTCAGCATGGCTGAAGATGCTCGCAATCACAAGGGAAGGGTCAATTCGGTTCGCAATTGGCTGACTTCTATGATACGCATTGGACTGTTTCTGACCAGAATGTCCTGCTTGAAATGCTCATATACTCACTCAGGCATACTCTGAATGTCATGCAATACCCGGGGCTCTTGCTTTTGCGTCTTGGAAGCGACACCGCCCAAGACTGAGCGAGATTTCTATATATGGTAATGCATTTAATTTCGCCGCAACTGTATGTATTGACTATAGTGGCAGGATCTCTTGGATCTTTAATTGAAGCGCACGACAGAAGCTACGACGTTCTAAGGAAACGACCTAAAAGGGGGGTTGCGCGGTAAATGCCGAGTTTGACAGGAGGGATCAGCCGGAAACATCAGGATCATTTGGCTATGTCTAGCCGAGACATAGCAACCACAGGCACGGTTAATGAGCCAAGAACGAGCTTGGAAAATAAGGTTTCCAAAAAAAGAACTTGTTGTCAGTCACGTGGTGACGTGTCAGTCACGTGGTGCGCTCCAGCGTCGGGTCAATAGCGTTTACTCAGTACTGAGTCCAAGACTCCGAGGATACAACCAAACCCACACATGGAAAAAAACACGGTGAAGGTAGAGGGCCTGTGGTTCTCTCGCGAGATGATTGTGATCAAAGCGGAGCACAAACTGTTTCGCGTTCCGGCAGGGATCTTGAGCGCCAGGAGCTCCGTCTTCAGCGACATGATGGCCTTTCCACAACCTTTGGACGAAGAGCGCATCGACGGCACTCCCGTACTACTGGTGCAGGATACGGCCGACGGATTTGATGCGTTCTTGCGCGCAGTGTATGACACAAGGTCGGATCACCAACGCTATTGAGCTCGCGCCTGAACCACTTCCAGTTTTTTCATGCCTGCCCCTGCTCCCGTTGATCTTTTCACCGCTCTTTCTATCCTCCGCTTGTCACACAAGTACGACATACAGTACCTGCACCGTCGAGCCCTGGATCATCTTGTTGTCGATGGCTGGTATCACCAAA